ATGGGCTTTGGGTCCCCACTCCACTCCTCCTCATTCACAATATGATTTTTTGTTCTTTGATACCTGATATCTGATCCCATTGACACCTCGTGATCACACAGGCTGATGTGCTTCTTCCATGTGGGCTTTGTTGCTTCTGAGCTAGATATCTGCTTGTTTATCTTCAAGCCTTTAAGACCCCAGATGCTATATCTTTTGATAGCTGGGCATCATCAGCTTTCTACCACATTTGCTTATGCACACATTTGTCTTCAGCAATTGTGTCGGGAAAGTGAGCATCATGGAATGCCAGTTTAATAGAACAAAATATTCTTGCATTGAGGGAGTACTTGCGTAGAGGCCCAATGTCTATCTGCTACCTTAATGCTAAACCTATAAATATATGTACATAGATCTATTTCCCCATCATCACATATATATTTACAAATGCACACGCCTGTATTTAGACCTCTATAAATGCCCTTTGCCTCCTAATTCTTTCCTCTATTTCCTTTTCCTTTCCTCTTGTCCCACTATCATGCTCAGCCTTCATTTGGGTTACAATAATTCCTCTTGGTTACTTTTCCCTTGACCAAGCCCTACCAGGCCTCTTACACCCTCCTCACCACCGATTTTGGATCACTTGTTGTTCCCTTGGGGGGTTTGTTAACACCACTTCCTTTCCCTCACCTACCCTCTCTCCCATGTCCCCCAGGAACCGTTGGTCAATTGTTTTTTCCTCCAGATTGTTTATCCCACCTATCTTACCTACATAGACCTGCAGAGATAATAATATGCACAGAAACAAGACAGAGCAAAACAAAGCAACAAAAAGACAAAATAAAGAAAAGCCTGTAATAGTTCAAGGTCTGTTTGTTGACCTTAAGGAGTGTTTTCCCATTGAGTGTGATGGGGTGCCACATCCTGGCCCCAAAGTATATTTTTGGTATTCCCTCGGGACTTCCTTGCTCTGTTCCCCTTGCTGTTCTGTTGGACGCCCTTAGTGTTTTGCTTAGTGTGGTGGGGTCAGATCGGGTGCAATTCCCACACTGCGTCTCCAGTGTTGTCCCCTGTAGGGGTATGGGTCAGTGAAGGATGTTGTGTCTGGTAGTGGGGCCAGCCACATGGTCCTCTCTGTGCATTGGCTGCTCTGAGCAGGGATATTGTCCTCAAGGCACACTCTTATCCACAAGGGAAAACCTAGACTAATAGGTAATCCAACTATGTAAATTCAATCTGTCCAAATTAATATCTTTATGCTAAACACAGTGGTGTAAATTGGGAATATAAATATAATTTGTAGCTTGTCCCATTAAACAAATCTATTAATATGACATATTTTTATATCATATAAAACTATGTCAATTACTAGTGTATATATATAACTTGCAGCATTTACACATTGGTAATTAAATCTTCCTAGCACTCAAGTGTCTTATAGTCCAGTAAAAGATATAACTTAAGTGATTCCAACAAAGGTTAAAAAAATTATTAATAGTACGGTGATCAAATTCCCTTTGTCAGCAGTGAGAATGAGTATCATTCATTACACAGAACACAATATCCAATAACAGAGTAAAGGTGAAGAAAACTATATACATATATAAGTATTATATACAAATATTAATAGGCATTAATTCAATACTGTTCATTTATTTTTAATAATATAGGGGAAGTACTGCAATGTTATGGAAGAAGGTACACTGTCAGATATTTTTAAAAACTAAAAATAAATTATGAAAAAAATACCTAAAAACTGCTTGTGCTTGTGTGTGAAAACAGACTATCTTTGCTCTGGGTGGTCATAAAATAAGTTCCTTTTAAAATTCTTTTCACATCTTCTATTTTCTATAATGGCCTCATAATCTTGAATCCAGTAAACTTTTAAAGCATAGTCATGATTTTTTTTCTGTTAAGACATTCAGCAAAGACAAGATCCTGTTTGTATGTTAACCACGCAAAGCTAGGTGCTGGGTTAGCTTTCCATATCCAAAGTCATTTGAATGTCTATCTCACACCACATACAAAAATAAACTGAAAATACATTAACAACCTGAAGTATAAAAGCTAAAACCATATAACTATTAGGAAAAACAAAGAAATCTTTTTTTTTTAACATTTTATTAAGGGCTCACACAACTCTCATCACAATCCATACACACATCAACTGTGTAAAGCACATTTGTCCATTCATTGCCCTCATCATTCTCAAAACATTTCCTCTCCACCCAAGCCCCTGGTATTAGGGTCCTCATTTTTCCCCTCCCTCCCCACTTCCCCCACAAAGAAATCTTTACAACCTTGGAATTAACAATGAATTCTTAGCTGCAACAGCAAAACGTGTAACGAAAGATAAAACAGAGTAATTGAACACATCAAAGTGTAAGTGGTCCTTTGTAGCAGTCATCTGAAATCCACCAGTGAATCTGTTCCTATCTGAGCCAACCAGAATAAGGAAAATCAAAGTCTGAAAGAAACGATTCCAAAGGATGAACAGACCACATGAACCTCAGTCTCCGCAAAATAACTACTTGGTACCCCACTACCACTACCAACCACTCTGGTCAAGCTCCTGCAGACGTGTCGGCAGAGTGGGAGAAAAAATGCAGAAAAACAAACCCACAGGCAGGTGGGACCGGCAGACAGTCTTCAAACCAGGGACTGACTCCACTCCCAGATCACCCTTCAGCCAAACAGTAAAAACTGAAAATAAAAAATAAAAACAAAACAAACAAAAAAACTCACCGCCCCTGAATTGATTCCAACTCACAGCAGAGGCGAATTGGCTCGGGTGGACTTTTAAGACTGACTCTTCACAGGAGGAGAAAGCTCATCTTTTTTCACGAGGAGCGGCTGGTGGTTTTAAGCTGACCTTTCGGTTAGCGGCACCACCACAGCTCCCCCAGGCAAGCACCAGGCAGACAGACAAAGTGTACAGAAACACCCGAGAAGAACATGCTCTTCCGAACAATCGGACACATAAGACCAGAATCTGAGTGCAGAGACAAACAAGGGGCAGGAAAGGCTGGCGAACTGAAACAGTGCCATCAGGAGGAAGCAGGGAGACTACTGTTACACTGGGGGCTTGCAACGAATACCACACCACAAGACGTGTGCTAAGTTGAATAGGAAACTGATTAGCTAGGCAAACGTTCCCCTAAACTACAATAAAATGCTCATACGCAAAAAAAGTAAAGTTTTTTTACATCAGAGAACATTATCGAGAAAGTAAAAACTATCTGTAAAGTGGCAAAAAATACTTGCAAATCATACATCTGACAAGAGTTTAATAGCCAGAATACCTAAAGAACTCTAACAACACAAAAACACAAACACAACGGGTCCAATAAAAC